GTAGCATTAAGAACTGAACTGTCGCTCATAATCTTAAATCAATCATTTTTGCACTCCTCATGTACAGCCTTAACACATTCGGGGCCTGAATTGTCTTGAAGCTCGAATGAACTAATTTTAACAGCCATGGCTGCAGAAAGTTCTTGAGATGCTATGATACTAGCGTTTCATCTGATTTAGCTAAATTGCTAAAAATAGAAGTAGTTTCTAGTTTGGGAAGCCACTCCTCTGTCTAAAGCAGCGCAGTGCAGCACTCTTTATCTGCACAAACTGCACTTGAGAGGTTGCATAATGTGAAACAGATTTTCGGTTTACAGGCTTTGCACTGAGACCTCTCAATGAAACTTATCACGCCTGTCCGTCACTGGATCTCAACATATCACAGTGTTTGCATGGACTGAGATTTATCGTCGATCTGTCATCCCAGCCTCAGCACGTATTCACAAAGGTTTTGGTGGAAGTAGAAGAAATTGTCATAATATATTTCCCCTGCACTGACCGTATTGCGTTCCACTGTTGCACTGTAGTTCTCTTCCTGTTCCGTTATATTAACCACTTCCCTCCATTTTCTTTTTTTATATTTTCTTTTGTCTCTTGTTTTCCGTTAATTATAAATATATTTGATATTGACAGATGCCATCTTGACTGTGGCAGCTGTTTTATTCTCATATCGTGAGTTATTATGATTGTCGTTACTTTGCTATTGTGCTAAGCTTTGTGTTTATTTTATTATTTACATGCTTTCCTACGATATGTCATGTCTCTGCTGAAACGGTTTCTTCTCGCGATTCCGTTCAAATAACGAAATTTAAAACTTAAGAAAGCATCTTTCTCTTGATAAGGTTCTAGGTATTTGCTCATCGTCATGGGTTCATTTCATCGAGATAAATCATAATATATGAGTCTCGTTCGTAGCTACAATATTTTGAAACATAATATTTGGTCTTGTTCACATAGAAACTTAAGCTAGTGTACTGTGGGGGCACTGATCTGCTAAGCAGTGAAATGTTGCGCAAACGGTGTCTAAATGTCGTGATTTTACAAGTGACATGCACGTCATTCAAAGGCACTTTCAAATGATTAAGTACCTCAACTTAGAGTGAGTGATTTCTGCTCCATCTAGAGGTGAAAACAGATAAGCTACGCGTCGTTACTTCGACTACATACAGGAAGTACTTGCAAAACTTAATCGTTGACTCCTGTACAATTTTTACAAAATTTTTAAATATGTAAAAAATATTTTCCATTCCCAAGTTTTCACGTTTCATGGAAGCGGAAAAAATTTTGTTGTTGGACACATTTCGTATGCTGTTGCTAAAAGCCAATGAACTATTTTTGTGATTGCTCGTGCTGTTAGATTTGCTTTAGGGAGCTAGTTTCTTCCGTCACCGAACAGTTCCTAGTACAGTTGAAAAGGGCAGATTGGATGGACGCCGTCAGCAAACGTCTGGCAACAGCGAAGTTGAAAAACATGGTGCAAAATGTCGCCTACCCTAGTTGGATCATGTCGGATGCAGATCTGGACCAGTTTTATGAAGGCTTGTCAGAAAGCATACTTCCGGACGACAACTTCATGATCTGTTTGCAGAAGATCAACGCTTTCGACGAAACCAAGGCGTTTGCCAAGCTTTTGCTGGCGCCGGACAGGACTGACTTCTATGCGTCCCCAGCGACCGTCAATGCTTGGTACATTCCGTTTTACAATTCAATAACCATTCCGGCAGCCATTCTAAACCCCGATATATTTGATGACGATTTTCCAATGGCAACGAACTATGGAGCCGCTGGTTTCGTAGTTGGTCACGAAATAACTCACGGCTTTGACAATATGGTAAACCCTGATTTACTGGCAATAGTGTGCAGGTGAATTTTTTAGGGGATACAGTTCTTCGAGAACGGCTATTTGGACACGTGGATGTCGAAGCAGTCGCAGCGAAGATTCGCGAACAGGGCGCAATGCTTCATAGACCAATACCAGAAGTTCTGCTACCCGCAGGTGAATAACACGTGCATCAATGGCCAGATGACGTTGGGAGAAAACCTCTCTGACAACGGTGGCTTGAAAACTGCATTCTACGCGTACCAAAGATACGCCGCTTTTCAAGACGGTAAACACGAGCACATACCGGGCTTCAGCGACTATAGCATGAACCAAATTTTCTTCCTGTCTTTTGCCCATACGTTTTGTACTTCGATCAGTGACGCTATGTTGGCAAAGCTGCTGCTCACTGACGTTCACAGTCCCGCAGAGGCCAGGGTCATTGGAACGCTGAAGAACTTCGAAGAATTTGGCATCGCTTTCGGTTGCAAAATCGGGCAGCCGATGAGGCCGTTGAAACGCTGCAGCATTTGGTGAACTGCGTCTATATGTGACTTTCCGTCTTACCATTTTAGTGTACTTGAAGTTTTAGCCTGTTTTAAATAAACATTTTATTGCTATCGCTTCAACCTCATGTCGAAAGTAAAAAGGAACGAACGTTTCACCTTTCCTTAATCTGAACATTTGAGCCAGGTAAAAGTCAGGTTGAATGTGCATATTGAATGGTACTAGTGAAGGCAAGATATAGTGTGATCATTCTATCCTGAGAGCACCTTATCCTGTTTTAGCTGCAATCGTCACTCAAGATTAAAGCAGCATTGGCACCAGAATATATACATCTATAATGTATGATCGAGAAATTGCGTCTCAGGATTATATTAAGCAAATTTCGAAACTGCAGCAGAAGGCATGCTGTTCGCCATTATCAATTACGTTTCAGTGTGGTGTTTCTAAAAAGCGAACGGTTCCCAAAAAAGACTTTCGAATAAATCATTATCATAAGCTTTTTCCGATCCACTGCTGGATGAAAGCATTTCCAAAGTTTAGTCACGACCTTCTGTTCTGCGTCATCAGCTCGTCTTGCCATCGACACGGAGGTCTTTGCACGGGAAGTTTGTTCTCTCTTAGAATCTAGTCTAAACATGTCTGGTTCAGGGATTTTTGATTCATTTTGCAACGCGCACCGTCCATTGCCACTTCAATTTGTCACTCTGGCAATGGCATTGAAAACTCCTGTTTGCACTCGCACCCGTTCATTCCGCTGTCTTACCTCACCTTGTTACTCGTCCCGAACAACTAACAGCTTTCAAATCTTTTTTGACCATTTCTCCTTATCAAACATGATACCCGCCTCGCTTCGATTGCCTCTGACCGTTTTTTAGGCTGATGGTCGTCAGCATCTGCTGTGGAATCCCAGTTTGCGGATACTTGACAACAGGTTCACTAAAAGCGTTGAAACAGAGCTTCCTGACTTTTCTGGACAAGAGTTGTTTTCAAGCTGTACATGCGCATGGAAGATAAAATAGGCGTTTGGCATTGAAGTTCGTCAGAGATCGTTTGTACAGCGTAATCTTTCCACATACGTTATGCAGCTTGTTGATGTTAATCCAGTACGCCGTTAAATTCAGGAATAACGTTATATTTGTTAGCAAAAGTGTTCGAAATCAACTGAAATAGTCCACTTCCTCTATAACCTCACAATCCTGTACTCTCGACCGGCTGTCATTTGTCACAGGTCATAATCCTTCATAATCTCTGTTTTCTTGGTGTTGATCTCTATTTCTATTCCTATAAACAGAGCACTGTTGGGCACACTTTCAGCGCATTTAGGCCGGGGGAGTCGCCGAGTAGCCGAGGGCTTGTACATATTCAACATATGAAAAAGTATCCCTGCCTGCCTGCAACTTTACTGATAGTCAGCCTTTTTGTTATTCTGCAAAATAAGGCGTTTTTACATATCGGGATGCACAGCGATGTTGAGTGGTGAACTCAATTTCTGAAGCTGAATCACCCGCACGGTGATTTTTCAGTCCAGGGTGACATACGACAAAGAAGTGTTTATTCGTAGATTGACAGGACGATGCGCAAATAAATACTGCAGAAGTTCTATTTTGTTTTATTTCAACTGTATATATTCCGTCATGTCCAAACCATCCAATTTCTACGTTACGATGGACCGTTCCTGCTAAACGCATTGCGGAACATCCTATACTTCCGTACTGGCATATGTCATGGATGACGCCATGTAATTTACGCCCCCTCCTCATTCGCAAGGATTTAGTAGCTCGTGTTGCAGCATCAGCATGAAACCTATTTATCATTATGTTAACCTTCTTCAGTGTAATCAAGTAGCCGATCAATGATTACGCCAGTGTAGCATTTGGAAACTCTCCTGACAGAGTCCTTCGGTAAAAAATGACTTTATTTGTATGAATGCGCAATGTGCGAATATTTTACATGCGAAGAAAATGCTCAGCACATGAGGATATATGTTTTCCGATGTTCCTGAAGTTTTTTTTAACGATATCTGTAAATAAATATTTGCGGAATATTAGACTGACATAACTAAGTGTGTATCATCATCATCTTTAACAGCATTGCTAGCTTGCAAGTCCGCTCACATATGACCAAGAATTGATATCAGCAAAGCTTACTTACTCGCCAGCGGTTTGCAAACAGTGCCTTCCTGTTCGCGAAGGCCTGAAAAAGTAAGCATAACACAAATTGCTGACCGCAGACATAGGCTAGTTCAAAAATGAAACTGAAAAACGACGAGATCACATGACCAAAGGATACCCATTCCTCAATAAAATATTGACTAATGACATGAACAATGATGAAGTCAACAGTTATGCTTGTTTACTTATGGCAGTTTAATTCAGCTGAGAACAATCAGATGGCCTCATAAGACCGCGAACAAAAAGCGGTCGAAAGCATATTCGGAAACCTCAGAAAGATTCTGAGAGGAAAGTTGACCAGAAAAGATTCTGGGAAATGTGAATCCAGAACGCAAAAATGGCGCGTGTCCTGCATGATGGCATGTGGAAGGCTGTCCATGTTAGGGATTACAGTAGAAGGGGAAAGGAATTTCAGACTGATAAGGGCGCAATTACTACTTCATTAGGAACAAGGAAGGATGAATGGACCGGGAACACTTCATAAAGATTGGCCATCTCTGGTGCTAAAGTGTTTCATTTCTTCACAGAACAAAACAAGTGCGCAAACAAAGCAAAGACAGAGTAAAATCGTTAAATGACTTCAAACACCTTGAAAGACGAAATTTCAGTAGGTTCTTCACGCAGCAACAAATTGACGCAGACGGTTAATTGTGTTTTTTGTTACAACCGTTGCAGCACTGAACTTACCGCTTTAAAATTATCCAAAATATTAATTCTATCTTCAAACATTTGCCAGCCGCATTTTATATTGCGTCGGTAAAATTGACAGCATGTTGTAATATGATTTAATCACGTTATTATAGGTAATAAATTCTTAGTAGCACACCTGCAGCAGTGTATGTCGAACACCAGCGATAACACTGATATCCAACATGATGGTTTTGATGATCCCAAGAAACAGGTCATACTTGACACCTGTGCCCGCCCTAAGGTTGTACCTGGAGGTAATAATCAACTGCCAGAGTGGTCAAGGCTGCTAAAAGAGACAACTGAGACATTGGTGTTATTCAGACTGTTATGCAGGCATTTCTTTACTGGTTTATCACCACAGTATGATGTTACGTAGTCGGTGTGAAGTTAGTCGCCGTTGAACTTCACCTGAAATTAGCTGTGCCACATCGACAAAGCCTCGTCGACAAATCAGCATATTGATGGTGAAAAATTATTTTATAATAAGGCTGTGCGGTCTGTTTATCAAAACGACGTAGAAAACTACATTAGTGGCCCTTCAGTGCTCAGTTCAGAAGTATCCGCATCGATAAAGTCTTCATACACCTCAAAAATGCACAGTCTCTTCAGCGAAAGCGTACTTGGGATCAAGAAGAAAATGGCCAAACTGCCATGCATTACAAAGAAGATCCGGGCTTTCAGGGTGCAAAGGAACAAGACAAAGAGAATAATTACAAATCCATATTGTCCCACTAAAAGAGCCATTGTCATCTTGTTCGCAGAGAGCTACAGGCAGCTCAAAGTACCCTGACCGGAAGAGGAAATCAAAAAAATCGATGAAGCAGAGGTAAAGGGCAATTTGCTAAAAGGAATAGTGCTTCAAGGTTCCAGGACCAGTTTTCCAAGGTAAGCACGGGTTCTTTATGTACTTATCCGGCACGGTAGTAGTGCTCCATTGCAGATCAGAAGTAACACCTCAATACGTGAACTGAGTATTTACAACAGCTCCTCAACAGTTGTTTTCCAGAGCTGCTCTTTCTGCTTGATAATTTTCTGCCAAAACTAGAAGTCAGTATAAATCCATCCACAAAAAATAAAAACCACTGCGATACCTGAAGGTGAGGAAGGGCGATGTTGCAAATTGAATGCGCCCAAAGTTAAATAAATCTCTAGG